CGGGGCGGCGGGAGGCTTCCACCCACCGGCTGAGCCGCCCCCCACGGTCCCGCAGGCCGCGATGGAGCCCACGGCCTCGCAGGTGTTCTGCGGGCGGGTGCTGGGCATGGTCAACGCCGAGGACGTCAACGCCATCATCCTGGCCCAGAAAAACATGTGAGTCCCGGGGGAAACCCCCTCTCCCCCCCGTTGAGACCCCGGTTACCAGCACCAGGAGCTTTCCGGGATCTTTACCGACCTCTGCCTGCTTCCCCTTTCCCCCTGCAGGTTGGATCGGTTCGAGAAGACCAACGAGATGCTCCTCAACTTCAACAACCTCTCCAGCGTCCGCATGCAGCACCGGGGGAGGGGGAAACCCCTCCGCCAACTTTCACTCCTTCCGGCTCAGCGCCGTAGACGCGATGACGCCACGAGGTCACGCACGACGTGACCCCCGTACCCGGAAGCGAGTTGCCGGTGCCGCCCTCGGTGCCGCTCCCGTCATGTGAAGCGGCGGGACCGGCTCCCCCAGGTGCGCGTGCTCTGCCGGCGGGAGCCCCCGGGGGGTCACCGGGAGGGGAGGTGGGGGGGTGTCCAGGCCCGCGTCCCTCCCGAGGGGGCCCGGTACCGGGAGTGTGGGGGGCGCTACCGGGACCGGCGGGCGGATAGAGGGACCCCGTTACCGGCGGCGGGTGAGTGTGGGGCCGCCCCGGGACCCGGTACGGCGGTGGGGAGAGGGGTAGCTCCGGTAGCGGGTGGGTGGAGGGGGTCCCTGTTACCGGGGGGGGGGGGGTGGTGGTGTGTGTCTCCGTTACCGGTCCGGGGCGGCGGGAGGCTCCCGCCCACCGGCTGAGCCGCTCCCCACCGTCCCGCAGGCCACGATGGAGCCCACGGCCTCGCAGGTGTTCTGCGGGCGGGTGCTGGGCATGGTCAACGCCGAGGACGTCAACGCCATCATCCTGGCCCAGAAAAACATGTGAGTCCCGGGGGAAACCCCCCCGTTGAGACCCCGGTTACCAGCACCGGGAGCCTTCTGGGATCTTTACCGAGCTCCGCCTGCTTCCCCTTTCCCCCTGCAGGTTGGATCGGTTCGAGAAGACCAACGAGATGCTCCTCAACTTCAACAACCTCTCCAGCGTCCGCATGCAGCAGATGAACGAGCGGTTCCTCCACCACACCAAGATGCTGGTGGAGATGAAGAAGGACTTGGACAGCATCTTCCGGAGGATCCGGTGGGGGACGGGGACCGAAACGGGGACGGGGGGAGGCAGTGTGGAGAACACAGGGTGGCTCCTCGAGGTCCAGGGGGGGGTTAAAGGGGGACACAAGCAGGAGCTCCAGGGTGGCTCCTCGAGGTCCAGGGGGGGTTAAAGGGGGACACAAGAAAGAGCTTGGGGCAGTCTTGGAGGTAAAAGTAGTTGGAGAGGAGGAAAACGTGCCATTGGGAGAGGAGCCATGGAGCTTTGGGATTCCTGATTCTGCTCCTGCTGGGATGGTCCGTGCTCGGTTCGAGAAGACCAACGAGATGCTCCTCAACTTCAACAACCTCTCCAGCGTCCGCATGCAGCAGATGAACGAGCGGTTCCTCCACCACACCAAGATGCTGGTGGAGATGAAGAAGGACCTGGACAGCATCTTCCGGAGGATCCGGTGGGGGACGGGGACGGAAACGGGGATGGGGGGAGGCAGTGTGGAGAACACAGGGTGGCTCCTCGAGGTCCAGGGGGGGTTAAAGGGGGACACAAGAAAGAGCTTGGGGCAGTCTTGGAGGTAAAAGTAGTTGGAGAGGAGGAAAACGTGCCATTGGGAGAGGAGCCATGGAGCTTTGGGATTCCTGATTCTGCTCCTGCTGGGATGGTCCGTGCTCCCTCTGGGTGGTGGGAGGGACACGGTGTTGCCGGGACGGTCACGAAATGTGGGATTCGGAGAAGTAACCGCTGAGGTGAAAGGGAGGGATGGGAGAGAGGGGGGGAGGGAGCCCCACGGCCCCAGGAATCCCTTGGGATGTGTTTGCCTCATCCATAAATGCTGGCTGGGAATCTCAGCTCCGCATGGATGGGCTTCCCTGTGGACTGAGCTCGTTCTCTCCTCCCGCAGGACGCTGAAAGGGAAGCTGGCGAAGCAGTACCCGGAGGCGTTCAGCAGTGAGTGATTAGGAAACGGGGATGGGGGGAGGCAGTGTGGAGAACACAGGGTGGCTCCTCGAGGTCCAGGGGGGGGTTAAAGGGGGACACAAGCAGGAGCTCGGGGCAGTCTTGGAGGTAAAAGTAGTTGGAGAAGGGGAAAACGTGCCGCGAGCCACGGAGCTTTGGGATTCCTGATTCTGCTCCTGCTGGGATGGTCCGTGCTCCCTCTGGGTGGTGGGAGGGACACGGTGCTGCCGGGACGGTCACGAAACATGGGATTTGGAGAAATACCCGCTGAGGTGAAAGGGAGGGATGGGAGAGAGGGGGGGAGGGAGCCCCACGGCCCCAGGAATCCCTTGGGATGTGTTTGCCTCATCCATAAATGCTGGCTGGGAATCTCAGCTCCGCATGGATGGGCTTCCCTGTGGACTGAGCTCGTTCTCTCCTCCCGCAGGACGCTGAAAGGGAAGCTGGCGAAGCAGTACCCGGAGGCGTTCAGCAGTGAGTGATTAATTCCTTCCAATTCCTTCCAATTCCTTCCAATTCCTTCCAATTCCTTCCAATTCCTTCCAATTCCTTCCAATTCCTTCCAATTCCTTCCAATTCCTTCCAATTCCTTCCAATTCCTTCCAATTCCTTCCAATTCCTTCCAATTCCTTCCAATTCCTTCCAATTCCTTCCAATTCCTTCCAATTCCTTCCAATTCCTTCCAATTCCTTCCAATTCCTTCCAATTCCTTCCAATTCCTTCCAATTCCTTCCAATTCCTTCCAATTCCTTCCAATTCCTTCCAATTCCTTCCAATTCCTTCCAATTCCTTCCAATTCCTTCCAATTCCTTCCAATTCCCAGTGCAAAGAGTCCCTTTCCCTAAGAACAGGGTTCTGGGGAGTGGGGAGAAGCCGAGGAGACATCCAGGCGTGTGCCAGCGCGTGGCTGCTGCACCAAAAGCCTGGAAAACTCCTTAATTGTACTCTATGAGGTTGTGAGAAGTTCTAAACTTCTAAAAAGGACCTGGAGGTGTTGGTCGACAGTTGGCTGAACAGGAGCCAGCAGTGTGCCCAGGTGGCCAAGAAGGCCACCAGCATCCTGGCCTGTGTCAGGAACAGCATGGGGAGTAGGGCCCGAGAGGTGATTGTCCCCCTGTACTCGGCACTGGTGAGGCCTCACCTCGAGTGCTGTGTCCAGTTTTGGGCCCCCTACCATAAAAAAGACATCGAGGTGCTGGAGCGGGTCCAGAGAAGGGCGACAAAGATGGTGAGGGGTCTGGAGAATAAGTCTGATGAGGAGAGGCTGAGGGAGCTGGGGTTATTCAGCCTGGAGAAGAGGAGGCTGAGGGGAGACCTTATTGCTCTCTACAACTCCCTGAAAGGAGGGTGTAGAGAGGTGGGGGTCGGTCTCTTTTCTCAAGTCACAGGCGACAGGACAAGAGGAAATGGCCTCAAGTTGCACCAGGGGAGGTTCAGGCTGGATATTAGGAAAAATTTTGTCACTGAAAGGGTTCTCAGCCATTGGAATGGGCTGCCCAGGGAGGTGGTTGAGGCCCCATCCCTGGAGGGGTTCAAAAGCCGGGTTGATGTAGTGCTGGGAGGTCTGGTTTAGTGATGATGCTCCTTGTTTGTTGTGTGGGTGTCTATTTTTGTCAGTTAGGTTGATGGTTGAACCAGATGATCTTTAAGGTACCTTCCAACCTGGAAGATTCTGTGATTTTGTAAACGGTTGCTGTTCTACGTAGTGTCGCTTTTTTATTGATGACTGCGACGAACAGGCAAAATTCAGAATTAGAAATGAGCAAATTCTTTAGCTGGGGCATCCCTTGGGCTCGATGTCGCACCGGCAGCACCTCGCCTCGTGTGGCCACAGCAGTAAAACTAACATTTTCGTCTTCCCTTCCAGACATCCACGAATCTCCCATCCTAGAAGACGACGATGACTTCGACCCCGTCCCCAAAAGCACGACAACCACCATCGCTACCTCTGAGCAGAGCACGGAGTCCTGCGACACCAGCCCTGACATCATCTCTCCCACCATGAGTCAGGATTTTGAGGATTTATCCCAAGGCCAGTACAATTTACCGGCCGTGAACGGACAGAGTCTCACAGATGAAGACACGAAATTCAGAATTAGAAATGAGCAAATTCTTTTGCTGGGGCATCCCTCGGGCTCGGTGTCGCACCGGCAGCACCTTGCCTCATGTGGCCACAGCAGCAAAACTAACATTTTCGTCTTCCCTTCCAGACATCCACGAATCTCCCATCCTAGAAGACGACGATGACTTCGACCCCGTCCCCAAAAGCACGACAACCACCATCGCTACCTCTGAGCAGAGCACGGAGTCCTGTGACACCAGCCCTGACATCATCTCTCCCACCATGAGTCAGGATTTTGAGGATTTATCCCAAGGCCAGTACGATTTACCGGCCGTGAACGGACAGAGTCTCACAGATGAAGACACGGCCAACGACCTGGACTAGGTGTGGGGGGGGGTCCTGTGCTGCCACCTGCCCCCGGAGAACTTTCTATCCTGTATATTTATATTTGTGTGTTTCTTTATTATTATTTTTTTTTTGGAAGAGGAAAGTGAAAGCTGAGAGACACGACGGCTGAGTGAAGAAGGGTGCCCTCCTTCTGCCTCTAAACTGCCACCATAGTGTAAACCCCGCAACTCGCTTTTGGGGGAAATAAGTAAAATGTGGGTTTGAAATGCGTCTTTGTCCTTTCTTGTTTGGTGGGAGAGCAGCAAAACCCCACCTTCGATGCAGAAGAGCTGTTTTGAAGCATGGGTGTGGGTTTTTGGTTTTTTTTTTCCTCAAGGAATGTTGTCTTTGGGTCTCGCCTGTGGCTCTGGCTTTCCTGGGGCTCTGTCCATGCTGCCAAGGGCTGTCTCCCCACGGCTGCTCCCTTTCCTGCCGGTGGGAAGAAGCCCGAGTGGGGTTTCCCTTCGCTTCTATCCTCACCCTGGGTTCCTGCGGCTGCACGGGGCGGGTTCACAGCGGCCTGTTCCCTTCCCTGGCTCCTCACGGTGCCTGGGGGCTCGGCCCGGGCCTGCTGCTCCCTGCGAGGGGCTGAGGAGGCTGGGGCTGAGGGGAGAGTGTGGGGCTGGGGCCGTGGGGCCTTGAAGGGGGGG